ATAATAAAAAATCACATTTATATTGCTCTAAACGTGGGTGGTTGGCGGGCGCTCTGGTGTGGTTCGCTCCTTTCCTATCAAACATCTATCGTCCTTATCTCTCCTCCACCTTTTTTTTTTCGTGTGTCTGTTACTATCTTGTAATACATCTATTCTTCGGCACTTATATGACCTTATTGTTTTGTAAGTGCCGTAAAACTCTTACTTAAACTAAAATTGCGCTCAACCCCGATTAAAGTACGGTACACAGGCTCTGAGTGCTTCACAATACAATACAACAGTAACATAAAACGTTGTGTTCTGACTATAAGAAATTCTCTCTAAATATTAATCTTATTAATTTAAAAACAGAAATGACTTCAGCTGATTTTTTAACTAATCAAAGGATTTGATCTCTCTTAAAGTACTTGGTAAATCATTCCAGATCTTGGGGCCTTGATATTCAATTATTGGCCTTTCACCAATTGTTTAAAAGTTTCATAGATCTTGAGGGCAAAATGAATTTCTTTTTGTCAGCTGAAGACCTTAAACCGCGAGTTGGAATGTACAGTCTCAACAGATTTTATAAATTGATCGCTTTTTATTTTAATATAGTGTAAAGCGCATAGAGCCTGCTGATGTGTGGGGATATGCGCTATACAAATGCTATCTATTATTATTATTATTAAGGGGGGGGGGGGGTCCCACAAGCAAGCTAACTCCTTTATTTCTGGACCTAGAAACCTTAAATTTGGCATACTACTTCGTCATGATGCAGGTATTACGATGAAAAAAAAATTTCCCGGATCCAAGATGGCTGCCATTTTTATGGCGGCCATATTGGATTTTCTCATCATGTTTTCAAATCAATACTTCTCTGAAATTTACAGATGGATTTTATTGTCCTTTGGCACACATGTACCCAAGAGGCATATAAGTTAAAGTTTGTCAGTATCTTTCGATATCTTATTTCGTTTCGGAGTTACAGGAAGAAGCATGCAAATCTTGTCAAAAATGCAGAAAACGGTCAATTTTCCAAATTTATAAAATCATAAAATGAAAACCAAGATAGATAAAAAAAAAAAAAAAACGCTGACTATTTAATGTAACCACCCCTAAGGGCAACAAGTATGCCAAATGCCATCAAGATGCACCTGTAATCGTCAGAGGAGTTTCGAAAATGTGTCAAAAATTAAAACATCAAATCTTTTTGACAAAAAATGAGATACCTCTCTAATTAATAAAGACAGAATAACAATGTAAGAAGAAAAACTGTTGGGCATCCAACTAGCTACGATTGTGCCAAAGGACAATCAAATCAACAGAGAAATGACTGAGAAAAGTAAAAAAGTATTGTAATACCCAATTTGACCCAGATTGACCAAAAATAGGTGGGGGGACCCCCCCCCCCCCCCCCCCCCCAC